CCATGCATGCAGCACACACTTCATTTTAATACAAACTGATTGTTTTGTTCATAATTACAAGCACTTTGTGTAGGGCTTGTGGCAAAGCAAGTTGCACTTGAGCATTAGTAGGTCACATTACATAACATACAAAAACTGTACCTGTGCTAGGAACCCAATAACTTACCAAAAAAATGTCACTTCTCTGACAAGCCCTTTCCAACATCATGTATATTTTATGCATTTTTAGCTTGGTCAATACTTGGTTCTGGTCTGGTTTCAGTGGAAGAAAGAGTGAGCGCTTCCCTTCTTTACCACAGGATATATTTGAAACAATACTGACATGTCAGTACAGGCAGGACGTATATTACCTGGAGTTATTTCTAGTAGTGATTTTACACATGGGCACTTTATATGGTTTAATCTTTCCAGACATGTACATGCGCACACTGTAAAAAAAAATAAAATACTGACATGATGGGATTGGATAAAACTAAAATCCCAGAGACACTCTGGTAATAATTACATTACCCCACCTCCCAATGTAAACCTAATCTAATCCAAATAGGGATTTACTCAGTCCCATGCTTCAATAAAGAACAGCTGTATTAAGTTGACCTGATTGAGTTAGCTTTGTGAAAAGCTTAAAGAGGTCTGCAGATACTGATCTGCAGGTATATGGATAAGGATATGCAGCACTAAGCCCCCTGTCTTTCAAAGATAAAAAGACATCAATATACAGTTTCATTTTTAGCATCCGTATTAGATTATTTGCTCTTAACAAATGTCTTAAAGTGGATTATTTGGGATTTTTATGGAACCAAGCACAATAGCACTAACTATGGTCATATGGAAAATACACAGAATGGTATGAAGAAGTGAACTTGGGGCTGATTTCTTTCTAACCCAGACTGTAGATTCATGCAGTCTATCAGTGACAGACATGTCATGATTACAAGGCACATGAGAAATACAGTCACTGGTGTAATGAATATAAACTAGGTAGATTATTTACTCTATCATGCTTTTTTTTCCTCCAAAATGCCTAAAAGTAGATAGATTAAGCACTAAGCAAAGTACAAACTACAAAAAGAACAGAGGACAGAACCATAAGTTTAGTGCTTTTTGGTTTGAATAAAAAGGTTACAGTTTTTCCGTTTACCATGTTTGGTATTTGGAGGAAACAACATTAACCCAGTAGAGCATTATGGAGTTGAAACAGTTAAAAAAAATCAGAAATCACAAATGCTGCTGTCTGTCTGCCCTTAAGGGTGTGTGTGATAATTTGTCCCATATCTCTCTTATTATGCCATCAATGAGCTCTTGTGATATAATGCATTGCTTAGCTGTAGTAGTTTCACCCTTGAGCTATTGACATACTGAATATTTGATTTTAGCCCTCCCGTCTAATATCACTAGTCACGTTTACATGGACACTTTTTGTTTCAATCGGAATGAAATCAATCAGATTGATTAATCCGATCGCAGTGTTTACAAGAACGCTGAATAAAGTAATCGGGTTGATATGCGCATTTACATGACAGAATCGGATTTGATCTTCTGACATGCGCACAGTGCACGAATACATGTTTCCCGCCGTTTCATACACGTTTCTTACCTTCGACAACAACAGTCAGTCGTGCGTCATACGTCATTACATGATTTGTACGTCATTGCACATGCGCAGAACTATCTGGTTTCATTTTCAATCCAATGAAGTGTTTACATGTCCTCTCCATCAGATTAGAAAAGGTTTAAACCACCCCTTACGAGCCGAATGAAATTTTAATCGGTTTTGGCCAATTCATTCCGATTGACGTGTTTACATGTGACTTTTTAAATCTGATTGTGCTTCTAGTCCAATTACGATCGGATTATTAGTGTCCATGTAATCGCAGCTACTGTTGATCTAGCTTTACAGTCTTTAACAGCCAATTAGAATTCATGTGAAAGTGATCAGTAGTGCAAACAAGTTTTTCCCTAGCATCTATTTTCATGAGCTACACTTTTAGAAAAAGTGTTCCTCAAGGGTTTTTTTTAGATTGGTAAAGGTTCGCCTAGGGCACAGTCTGCGTTCTAATTCATCCCAAAGGTGTTCAGTGGAGTCAGGGCTCTGTGCAGGCCACTCAAGTTCTTCCACTCCAGCCTTGGCACACCATATCTTCGCTGACCTTGGTTTGTGAACTCTATCATGCTTGGAAAGGTTTGGACTAGGCCCCTTAGTTTCAGTGAAGGGAAACTGCAATGCTATAGAATATAAAGACATCGTATATGGTTGTGCACTTCCAACTTGTGGCAACAGTTTGGGAAAGGCCCACATATGAGTGAGATGGTCAGGTGTCCCATTTGGGGACATTCTGTATTCTGGATATTTGGGCCAAAACACAAGAAATGGCAGCACCAGGTTCTCAATTTTGTTCTTGAGCTCAGTTTATTGTCTGTGCAGAGTTTCACATGTTCTCCCTATGTATGCATGGGTTTCATCTGGGTTCTTCAGTTTTCTCCCACCTTCGAAGAACATGCCAGTAGGTGGACTGTCTATAGAAATCATCCCTAGGTGTGAATGAATGTGTGAATGAGTGTGTCAATAGGTGTGTTCATGGTGCCCTGCGATGGACTGGCGTCCAATCCAGGGTGTATTCCTGCCTCTTGGGAATTGAAAGGATATGCCCACTTTGGGTTTAATTATGAATACAAATACAGATATAAATATTTGGAGCATTATATCGATACGGATACAGACACCAGCACTGCAGTACACACATACTTCATACAACATAGGGCAGAATCAACCACCACAGCCAGTTACACAGACTCCGTCTTGAGCAAGTCACATGTCAGATAGCTCTTGTGTTTAGATGCCTGAGTAAAGAGGGATATGGGATTGTCAGGTATCTCTCCTGATGAAAGATTATGTAGCGTGTGAACCTTGTGTGGAATCAAGTGTGTATTGTGAACATTGCTATCGCAAGTGCTAAAGGTCATGCAGTGTGAGCAGTACAGTGATTCTGAGATTTTGAAAGTTGTATAGTGTCCATTAGATCTCAGGGTAGCTAATCCACCTACTGGAATGGTTTCGGGAGGTAAGAGGAAACCCGCAAACTCCAAAATCTGAGCTCAGGATCAAACCAGCCCCTCTGGAATTAATATGGTTCTAATGAACATTTTTGTAATTATGCCACAATTTATGTACACTGACCTGTTGAGACATTTTTATAGTTTTGTCAGCAGGTACAACTGGACCATGATAACTACCACTGTAGAGTTGTGAACACATTCATTGCAGTTAAAAAAGCCAAGGTCACTCGGTGTAAACCCAGTCCTCAAACCAATGACACAACAAACTTTAAATCTGTGAAACCTGTAATGCGTGTACGTGAATCATCATGACTGTGCAGCTCACAAGAATGTGAACGTTTCTTAGCAAGTAATTACTCGGTGTGAGTGAAAATATGAGCTGCTGATTAAAGTGATGCATTACCCACTATGCATTCATCAGAAACATGTCTCTGTGCTCTACCACCCACACACTGTTCCCTCTTCTCACACAATCCACACATCCTCACATGCACTGAATAACAGCTAGAGAGAACAGATTACAGTAGGCAAGGCCCAGTGGAGGATTTACAGTGGCTTATCATTTATTTCTGTAACTGGGCTTTCTTATTGCTTGGAATGGAGAATGTGTGTGTGTGTGTGTGTGTGTGTGTGCATGTGGGTGGGTAGGTGTGGTGTTCTGGGCTTGCTGCCCCAATTCGGCTCTTTGATTGCTGCTTCATTCATCTTGATTCTTGTTTGTGTGTGTATGTGGTGTGTGTGTGTGTACATGCGTTTGTTTAGCATTTGAGCCTGAAGCAGAAAAGTAGAACTTCAGCCAGAACATAGTAAACTCAATATATCATGCACTGAAGCTTGTCCCATAGCACCTCATCTAAATTTTTATCATGCTGAACCTTTAGTATATTCTTACCTATAAAAGAAAGGGGTGGGGTCAAAATAAAAATAAGAGAAGCTTTTGTTTCTGTTTGGGCTACTCTCCCTGTCATGTCCTTGGCCTGTTCTCTGATTGTGTTCACCTGTTCCAGTCTAGTTCTTGATTAATTTACCTTTCTATATCCTCTGTGTATCATTATTCATTGCGAAGTCTTACCATGCTTTGGTTTTGTTAAGTATGTGTCTCCGTGTTTCCTAGTTTCGCATTCTCCTGGTTTAGACCCTCGCCCGTTTTCCCAGTTTATCATTATGGACTATTCTTGTTGAACGTTACTTGCCTGTGTTGTGACCTTACTATGGACTTTGGATTTACCCCAGTAAAGCAAATACTGAGTTTACGCACTTATTTGCTGTAGTTAATTTACTTTAATTGCTTTAGTATGAGGAAACAGATACTTTGGGATGTGCTGTTATTGGAAAATTATCAATTTTCATATAGTAAGAGTAACTTCTCTTCACATTAGGCTGCATCACACCATCCTGTTGTTGATGATTTTCCTATAATAGCACACCCTGTTGTTTTTTATTCCTTACTTAATTGTCAACAACAGTATGGAAAACAGGTCTGACAATTGTCTCTTTAATATGTCAGATTTCAAAGCAACTAAAAGAGCCCCTAGGAGGCAAAAATCATGTGTGCGTTAAAGAGAACAATTTCAAAAGCCAACATGTGCAAACAGCATCAGCAAAGAGGTTCAGTGATCACAACTGCAAGCTCAGTGACAGGGATAGATGAACACTTAGTAGTTGCTAAATGCTGCATAAGTAAGTCACAAAAATAACCACATATGGTGAAAGATGAGTCAACTTTCACCATATGTCCTGCATCTGGATGGATTTGTCTTTGGAGGAAGCTAAAGGAGGATTTTAGCAGCCATCTCCTGGAAATCATTTGGTCCAATGATTGCTTTGCATAATAGTATAACGGCCAACAATTATAAGGCAACTTTACAGGGCCAGGGGACCCCTATGGTGCAAATCCTCTTTCCCATATTTCAGGATGATAATACTGCAAAGAACGATTGTAAGGTTTTAGCTCAGTGGTTAAGACATTGGACTACTGATCAGAAGGTCATGAGTTCAATCCCCAGCACCACCAAGCTGCCACTGCTGGGCCCTTGAGCAAGGCCCTTAACCCTCAACTGCTCAGTTGTATAAAATGAGATAATTGTAAGTCGCTCTTGATAAGGGCGTCTGCCAAATGCCATAAATGTAAATGTCCTCATCTCTCAAAGATCTGGAAGATTTTCTTCTTTGAGAATCTTCCAACATTCCACCACAAAATATTCAGGAATATGACAGCATTCCAAGCAGGAATATAGCTGTACTGGTGGGGAAAAGTGGCCCTATTCCTCATTAGCTCCTCTATATGAATATTTTATTACAGGTTTCTGCCACTCCTGGAATGGTGGTACAGCACTGCTGCCTCAAACCTCCAGGTTCCCCAGTTTGATCCTGAGCTGTTATAAGAAATTAAACACTTTGGGGTGGTTTCGGCCCTCTGCTTCATATTGGGCTGTATAACACCAGCCCGGTATGGATTATTTTTCTATAACAGAGCACCCCATCATGTTTTATTCCTTGCATAATATATTCCATCACCTGTCTCCTATAATTACACTGTTAACTACCATACAGACATTTTGTAAGGGTAAATCAGAGAGAAAGGAAATCACTCTAATCCTACTCCAGCAGTATTCAATACTAATCATTATCATAATTTGAAGTTGGATCTAAGCCTCTAACTATGTGGAGATCCCTCCATCTCACAGAGAGAAAGCGAGACTACAGGATCTGAATATTCTCCATGCAACTACTATATTAAACTCTTTTAATATATTGACACCTCTGTCCACAGGGAATATGGCATCTAGTATTACTTCAGCAATGTTTTCTTTAATTAATTCCCTTTTCTATTTAAATGACACACTTATGTACACTGAGACACACACATAAAGTCCCTCCACCTGGGTCTCATCTGTCAGATCACACAAGCAGCCACAGCTATTTCCGTCCTTATCTACTCATGCCAGGGACACGGGCATCTACAATGGCGTGCGTAACTACACAGTGCACACACACAGCAATAACTCCTCTGGCTGTTTGGCTTCTGATGAAATCAAAAGGTCAAAAGAAAGGTCTGTCTTTCTGCTTGTCGCTAAGTGATATACCAGCTAAATGTTGCGTGAGAGTGAGACGCTACTTGCAGTACTACTGTCCTACAGATGTACTAATGTACTTTAAGATACAAAGAAAGAAAAGGCAGCATATTACACAATATTATTGTGAGAGATCTTTTTAAAATTATAATGTAAAAATTATACAGATAGAGGCCATTTCAAAGCACATAAACCCTTAAAGTAAGGAATGTAAGTCTGACCAAAATGAGTTTTTTTTAAACAACAACAACAAAAAAATCCAAATAAACAAAAATGAAAGCTTATGTGCTTGAATCTGATTTTAATTAAAAAACAACAACAACAACAACAACAACAAAAAACAGAATAATAAAAAATTACATTTATATTAAAAATATTGTGTAATGGTCAATATTACTTGAAATGATATTAAAAAAATTGTCACATTTTTGGAAATATTAAGCAAAAAAAGTCAGTTTCTGACTTTTTTTTTCAGTTTCCAGTTGTACGGCTATAAAATATAAAAGAACATGATATTGTGGTTTAATTTGATATTCAAGGCATGAATCGAAAAAGTTCACTAGCAGTGAGATGCAGTATAAGCTGTGAATAAGACTTAATAAAAGTACCATTCTTGGGACATCTTCGGGAAATACTGATGACTTCTGTTCAGCTCATTGGTTGCTTTGAATTATAAAACGATTAAATATAAATTAATAAACAAACAAAAAAACTAACAAATATAAATAAATAAAAATGAAAAAAATCTTTTTACAAATAAATACATTAAAAAATTGTATTCAATAAACAAATTAATTAAAAAAAAATTATTTGTACTAGCTTCAAGATCTGTCTCTGATTGGCACTTGGTAAAGGTACATGCATGGCATCCAGATTTTAAGTTTTTCTTATGAAACAATAGGCATTCCTCCATAGAATAACAAATCATAAATATTAAGCATGTGTAATATTTAAACTATTGTTACCGTGGTATAATTTGCGAAATTATTAATTTCAGAATTAGTGAATTGGACGCAGCATTGCCCTGATTATCCTGTAGCATGGTACTAAAAGCATTTAATGGACAGAATGCATGAATGACAGAATCTGATTATATCTTTCCCTTTGGTTCATTTGTTAATTGGTGCTGGACTCACTGGTGGTGTTGTAGCGGACACCCAAGAAGGTCTCTGGACACGGACGTGCTACTATTTCCCCCGCGCTGCTCCTGGGCCAACACGTCCCAATGCCATCTATAGATATATTACAGAACAAACCTGTTTGAGAAAGAGAGAAAGACAGAGCATGTCAGTGATTTATGGTGTAGCCTAAAAATTATTTATGAATACCCCTATTCCTATGGGGAAATTTTCCCATCTTTTTTCCTGCAAGAATGTCATTCTCACGAGTGTGTAATTTAGTTCATCTGTGCTGTAGCATATTTTCTCTGCACTGGACTAATGCATAATGCATAATGCAAATCATGTGAATTAGACGTTGGCCAAAACCTCAGCCCATTAAAGTCATGACCCAAGAAAACAATACACAAATAGCTTTCTTCGAGATATTCATGACACAATTTTCTTTTGTGTGTGTTTTCACTGACGCCAATGCATTTTCAATGCCTTCACTGACCTCCTTTTTTGAGAGCAAGTTTTGTTTCCTACCATTTAATCTTGTCCTTTGAGTCCATGCCTCCCTTTGAGCTTAAACTTCTCCTTTCACTGTGCCCAGTATCTGCTACGCACAGCAGAGTGTGAAATACCTTTTAGCTCAGTGCTGCATCTTATATAACAATGTTTCCTATGCAGTCTCCATGGGGTGAGTTTCATGATGGGTTTTTAATAGTTTGCGGTTGGTACATCTAATAAGATTCCAGGTCGAATCTCTGCACCGCTGATGCACGCTTTGTGAGAAAGTGGTGAGTGGCGCTCATTGTGAGTACGGATTACAGGGTTTCTCAGTCTTTGGCAAGGCATGCATTGGGATGTTTACATTATCAGGCAAGAGTGTGAAGGATTTGCCAGTGCAATTAAAAGCTCCAATGAGCTGTCTAGTAATAACTTATGGTGAGGTAGTAAGCTAGTTAAATGGATTAACATAGCCTAACATGGGCAGGGGTTCTTAACTTGGGTGTCACAACCTGATCCCTGGGGAGGTCGTGAATGCGCTAAAAAAGATGAAAAAATATTTTCATGGGTGTTCCATTTTATCCAAAGGTGTTCAGTGGAGTTGAGGTCAGGGCTCTGTGCAGGCCACTCAAGTTCTTCCATACCAACCTTGGCAAACCATATCTTCATGGACCTCACAGGGGTACTGTCATACTGGATCATGTTTGGGCTCCTTAGTTCCAGTGAAGGGAAACTGTAATGCTACTGCATACAAAGACATCCTACACAATTGTGTGCTTCCAGATTTGTGGCAGAAGTTTGGAGAAGAACCACATATGGGTGTGATGGTCAGCTGTCCACAACATATAGTGTATTTTTAACCCCAAAAAGGGGTCACACTAGGAAAGAGGTTCCCTGGACAAAGGGAAATTAATAAGAATATGTTTATTATCCTCTTCTAAGAAAGTTTCTGATGCAGGATATTGTGTTGGTGACCTTAACAAAAAGCCAGCAAGTCATGAGCTGTGGTGTTTTCTTCTCACATCGCATCTAAGAGATAGCATTAGAGTCTGGCTAGCTCCTTTATTTTCTGTCAACATGACCACAAAGTAAACACAAAGTGATTGCATGTTGGCTGGACACCTGTGGCCGCGAGCCTGGTCATGTTTTCTGGGTGGGCGGGATGCCGTTCTCTCTGCAATGTCAATCACAGCAATACTAGCCAATCGTTGGTATCTGTGAGCTCATGTATGCGGAAGGGGGTAGATGGCACTTTCCTCTGAGTGTGTTACACTGCCCTGTGATACAGCATGATTAGCAGTTTGAAAAAATGATCCTGGGTGGCTTCATGTGTTTTGGAGAAAGTATGTGTTAGCCTTCACTATTCCCCATTCGTATATGTTAAATGATAAGGGAGACAATAATTGGACAGAAAAATCAAGAATGCAAAAACAATATGCTACATCAGGGAGCAGGGTTTTGCTACACAGTGTCCCTTCTTTGTCAAATAATTACATTCCTATGCTTATTAGTATTCTGTATTGTTTGTATGACTCACCAGGCTTTTAAGCTAAATTGTGTTATTTTCTACTTTTTAGCTTGGTTAATTAAGGTTACAGGCAACTAAAACACAGGACTGGGCAGTACAGTACAGTGGAGTTTTCACTTGCCAGGTGTTTATATTTCTGATTATCTGTTTGATTGAATGCATCATGAATCCACCTGTGTGTTTCTTGACATGGATCCAATAATACATGTGAAATTTGGAATGCAACCCAATGCCATGTAATTACCTCTACCCTGGCTGTAAATAAGAGTGATTTTGTGGTTGGAGAAGCACTGTAGCGCATAAATTCTGCTAAGTTTCCTACATGGATGTTGTACAAACAGACTGTGCATCTGCATGAGACAGAAATAGACAGCAATGGAGAAAACTGGGACGAGCAAGAACAAGCCATTTGTTAAATCAGACCTGTGGAAATGTAATGGATTAATGGACAAGGCATACTGCTGGACAGCATGATATACCACACAACTACAAAAAAGTAGTTTTTCATTCTTTGCATGATTTTTCTCTTTTAATATAATTTTGAGACGGCTGCTTTCCCTTGCTGTTAGTGCTGTTAGTGGAATCAGTTGCTGCTGCAGAATGACATGGTTTCACCTGCTTCCCCCATTCATCAGAGAGAAGATCAAAAGCACAGTGTAATATATCTGCAGGGGGTTTCAAATAATTAAAGAGGCAAGGATCAGAGAAGGCAGTTCATACAGTATAAATCGTAACTGAGATGGAAAAACCTCACACACTGCCATTCATTTAAAAACCAAAGAAGAAGGGATAGAAATTTTCT